TTTTTTTTTTTTGTTTTTCTTGCTTTATGTGATTCAGTTAAAAGTACTATTCGAGTTATATTATATTAAACATTAAGTTGATATTTTACCTTCCGATTTCTTGTGTCATTTTTTTTGTTATTCATTGTAAGTCTCTGATTAAATTCAGACTTAAGATAAGTGACACAACTACCTTTTTCTATTGTCACGTTCCCCTAGGCAAGCCATTTAAAAGTAGAATTCAATTTGTAATACGTGACACAAGGAATGTAACATTTTAACATGTTAACTAACTTACTCAAAGGTCAAGACAAATTGAAAAAAGTGCCAGCCATTGCATCCCTGTATGTAAAGCGCATTTATGATGTAAAGTTTCATCTCTATTTATATTAAGTTATTAACATGCCTTGTCTTTATAATAAACGATGTTTGGTGCATATTTATAATGGCTCTATTTTTAAGCACATTATTTTGTTTTCATATAAACATTAATACATTCTATAACAGACAGTAATGGAAAGAGGTCCACTTTATGCATATTAAATAGGTGTATTTTTTACTATCCGGTAGTGATATCCGACCGAAGCCGGATAGCACCGGATAGTAAAAAATGCTGGATATTCGCCAGAAGCCGGAGGGACTATCCGGTGCACCCCTAATATATATATGTATACACACACACATGTATAGATAGATCTAAAAGCATTAGGATAATAAACTCAAGAAAAAGAGTAACATTTTTCATCTAAGCCTTTCTCTGTCCCAAGAAGTAAATAGATTGTGTGTCTGACTGATTCGAACAAACTGGTCAGTGTAAGGCTAGTCGAGACTACGTGTACTCGGTCATGACAAGACAACCAAGCGATAGTGTTTGTTGTGTGTTGAGTGGTCTGGCGAGACAATACAGACTGTAGTGGTTAGTCAAGCATGTAAATCTACTTTAAATACGCATTTTTTCTTTGCTTACAAGATCTAGATCTACCTGCATAGACGAAGATATATTTCTTTTACAAGAATGTAAACTTTGCTTTATGGTTTTCTGTTATACAATAAGTCAATAGATTATAACACCTTTGTGACGTCACATAGAAACCCGGTGAAAGTCTGACTGTTTTGGATGCGCAGGAAAATTACGTCGGAAAAACATCAAATACTAAGTTATTATTGCAAAGAAGAAAAAAAAGAATCATATATTCATTATCTGTAAATCAAAACACATATTATATAAAAAATTGTCAAAACCATCGGAGTTTCCCTTTTAGCAAGGTACTGCCACTGGTGTATGACTGTCTCAGTATGAGTATTCAATCAAGTGACAAGTCAAGATTATCATTTATTCATTATGATATGATATTATGACTATCATTAATGACCTTATTGTTATGACTAGCATTACACACATCATTTATGTGTAACTCTTAAGCAACCATTTTTATATCTGAAAGCATGATAGATTAGAAGAAGGGTTTTTAAACTGAGGGAATGTTTTTAAGGCATTACTGAAATGGCTAAAAAAAAGTTTTTATATTAAATATTTATATGATTTGAATGTTTTTCCTCCATAAATTCCCCCACATACTGTTTCCAAATAACACAGTTAATATATTTAACATTTAAAAGGGAATAGCTTACTTTCTATAATTGATAAACCTTTTGAGGGCCCACAGATATAGTGGATGACTTCAAATATTAGATCGACTGGATCTTAACCGTAAAAAAAGCAAAAGTTGTCTAAAGTATGGAACATAGAAATAATTTATAGATTGTTATTTTTTAAATTATTAAATATTACATTTTTTTAAAATGCCAAGCTCCAAATTATTTTTATTAGTGCTTCAGTGAGGCAGTTAATTTTCTAATAAAGTGTGTATTTTAGAGGCCTCTTGTCACTTTACAAAATGTTTGCACATTTAAAAAGCTAGGATATCATGTGATATAAAAGTTAAAACGATATACCATTCTCATTCAGACTCATTTTCCTCTTTAAGTCCATAAATATAATAAAATCATTTTTATTAAATGTTGCTTGTTTTGTTTCAGCTCCATAAATAAAGGTCGACTGAGATTAGCATTGTTCTTTCATTTGCTGTTGGGGCTGTTCATGTTTTTTCGGCTGTTACCTGGAATCACAGGAGCACTCGGATTCGCTGTCATCAGTCTTCGGCGCCTTGATTTACCACACCCTCGTCCTTGGGAGTATGCATGGCTAGTTAGCCTTGTCGCAGCTGTGATAGGCTGGAGGTCAACTCCGCAAAACAACATATTTCTTCTAAAGCAGTTCATGTTAGGATTAGTTGTTTTTGGGCTGTCTCCAGTCTTCTTTGGTCTCTTCGACTTGAAAAGGGACATTATGCTGTATTTGCAGGAGAGGAAGTACACTTATGAAATGTTTGGATTCCCCGCTGTGTTACTGTGGACTGCTTTTATGCTCATAGCCCTTCAGCTACATAGTTTCTCCCTGTACTTTAGTTATGTCCTTCTTGGATCATGGAAGCCCAGAGTTTTGGAAAAGCTTAAGGCCAGATAAGCTAGTTAGTAGAGTTAGATAATTTATTTAATGAAATAATGATCCACCAAAAAACAACAGTTTATTAGCTTAAAATTGTCCAAATATAAATTATTGAATTTCTTTTTTTTTATTTTTAAATAATTTAAAATTAAGAACTGCTTTTAGGGGAGCAACGTATATTGGTTCATCGTTTTTTTTTTTTTAAAACCTGTAGAATCATTTGAAGAAATTGTTAAATAATATTAATTTAATTAGCAATGTATTTTTTTTTATTAATGTGTTTGTTAGGTTGAACTAGTGACAAATTAGATATTTCTTTCTAAAAAAAATATGATTTGAAAAATACAAAACTTATCATAAGAAGTGCTTAGTTTGTCACAGAATCCCAAACTTTTTTTTTTGTAATTATGGTATATGACATCCACAGAAGTACCATGAGGATATATCTCCATAAAATTTTTATTGGGTGGGTGTGTGGAAAGAATGTCATGTTTTATTATAGGTTAAACATAAAGGGAGTTAGAAGATTAGCAAATAACTTTCTGGTTTGTAGTGGTGTAGATCTCTAGTACCTGCATGAGTAATACAGATTTATTGTTTGTACACAAATTATAGTGCACAATTTGATCTGATTTTTTGACTTAAAGGAAAATTCTCCAAATGCAGAAGCACAATAAGTTGACTATGATATTTCATGTAATAAGTATCATATGTTTCATCGCTGCAGACTTATGTATTAGTGGCATGGTTTGAAAATAATACCTTCCATTAACCCATCCTGTGTTGTGACCCTGACACTTAGCTTATTAGCCAATAGAGACTTTTTTTTGTTGCTTACCAGTACCCCACATCACACTAGTCCTGTTTTGTGACGTGTTGGATTTGGGAAGAAGATTTCTCAGTCTCTCAATGGTGTGAACATTTTATTATCAATAATTCCCTGTGCTTAAATGAATAATACATGAACTATTGTGTAATAGAGTTAAAATGCTGAACTATTTATAATTGTTCTTTCAAAATGTTCAAGGACTTAATTGTTTATATATGCTCTTTTTCTAGTTGTGCACAATCTGTATAGGCCCAACTATACTTCCATATATTTTAAATACACCTTTAAATTTGAGATACCTCTCCTTTTATAATGTCGTACATTCTGAATGTAGTTTCCATCTCTGTTCAATCTTGAGAATGCTGTGACTAATTAGTGAAAATGTAAAATGTTTCAAAAATCTTTTATTACCAATGTCTTCCATAGCTACTGTTTTAAGTTGTGTTGTGCTTTGATAAATAAAGGTTTAATTTTTTTCTTTTTCATTCTATCATTTAATCAAAGCTAAAGATCTGTTGCCGGTCTAATAGTCCTTTTTTTTTTTTTTTTTTTTTCTGTTGACTAGAATGCTTCTTTCCTCTATTTTATGCTATCATTAGTTTTACCCAATAGGAAGTCTGACTTTTTTTTAAAAGTGGAATTCTAAGCACTTCTTTGTCTTTTCCCCGTATCTTGAAAAGAGGCTAGTACCAGGGCATGCATATTTTGGAGGATATTTCTTAGCTTCCAATATTGCACAGCTATAGTGGGCTTGTAGTGACCAAATACAAAAAAAAATATGCAATGAAGTTTTGCTACGTGAAATGAACTTGATTTCACTACATTTGGTTGCTATGTAATTAAATGAATTTGCAAACTATTCTGCTTGTATTCTCCTTGAAATGTGTGATACTGCCAACATTTAATAGCACATTGTTATTCATTGTTCTGCTGTGTAAATAAAAGTTTGGTGAGAACTTGCATTATATGTTAAAGAGTGAAGTATTTAGTAGTAGATTAAGTTTTTCCTCATGTTAATTTAATAGTTGAACATAAAAGACAAAGGACAAAGTGTTTATTATGTCTTATGTGTCTGACATCAGTAAAGTAATATTTGAATAATAATAGGTTTTACTATAAAGTGTGTTTGCTTGCTTGGAGCATATCTGAAAATTTAAGTTTAAGTTCAGTCATTGGCAGAGTTTAAGAGTGCTAGTTTAAGGATTAAGGGTGTAATCTTTGGATAAATTGCACAATTTTATTTCATTTTTAATTGATATTGCTAGTACATGCCATATTTAAAAAAAAAAAATGACAGATGAAAGCAGTTGCACAAGTGAATTATTATAATCTTTAGATACTGGTAGAAGATCTTATTGGGTTTTAGCATTTCCGTTTGATCCCACTCTTTTCCCATTGAAATAAAAAGAGTATCATTTTGATGATAGGTGCTTGACATGAAATTATCATAATCCCCCACCCTCTCTTTTTGTTCTCTTTGAAACAAATTGTGTGTGTCAATGACCTAAAATTCACAGAATACTGTATTCGAATCATATAAAAAATTCTTTTCACCTTTAAATTTTTCTCTTAATTCTGAATGATTCTGTAACACCAATGATGTTAGTTAATAAGCTGACTCAATGTAGTATTCAATTATTGAATGTACCGTATATGGAGTTTTGTATTTTTGACTCTTAACACCCCCCCCCCCCCCCCCCCCAATGTCTGGAACTGCCACTAGGATGTGACAGCTGCTATAGAAAGTTAATGCCTGAAACATTGCTGTAGTAATGTTACAGAAAACACTTGAGCTCAGTGTAAGCAAGTTCAAGTTTATTTGCTCTAAAGGATGCTGTAGGGCACTCGTGCTCTCCAGCTTTATTTTACTTCCTGATGTTGAGTTTTCCACAGATAGTAGGCCTATGTGTTGCCAATGCTACTAAACTTAACGATCCTTCAGTGAATTAGATTGAATTAGATCTACACAAAGTTAAACTACTCCTCACCAGATATTCAGTGTTGCCTGGTTCACTTCTCAGTAACCATGCTAGCACTAAATAATATATTTGCGTATGTTTTGTTGAACTTGTGTGTATGTGTGTACATATCTCTGCTTAGTGTTTTACTTAGACCTGTGTGAGGTTGTGATAATGTTATGTCAAGACTCTTTGACCTTTTGCTGCTAATACTTCAACTTTTTAATAGTATTTGACTCTTCTACCATCCATGAAAAATAAATGAAACCAAAATATTTTGTTTGTTCCTTTATATGGGTTTGAATTATTGATACGGTATAGTGTTTCTTTTACTCTTTAATCATAAATTATTGATACGGTATAGTGTTTCTTTTACTCTTTAATCATAAATTATTGATACGGTATAGTGTTTCTTTTACTCTTTAATCATAAATTATTGATACGGTATAGTGTTTCTTTTACTCTTTAATCATAAATTATAGCAATTTAACTAGGTCTGAGAACAGTTAAAATTATAAATTATACAAATTTAAATCTAAGAACAGGGTTGGAGTCATACATATTACAGATTAAACTAGCTTTGGGAACAGTACCGTAACTTAAGTAGCTCCAAGTTAGTGTAACCAAACTATACACACTTCATTCAATCATAAATCTAATAAAGTACAGCTGAGATGTTTCCACAAATGAGACTATAATTAGGTCTTACGCGTATCAATGTTAATCTAGTCATGTATGTTAGTTTAGAGACTCAACTTTGCTGTTTGTTTTTCTGGCTGATTCAGGCAACACATCCGTGCTCTCATGTAGGCCTATCTTAGATATTTTTTTAAAAAGTCATTGTCGTTCACTTTGCCACGAAGTCATTCACACATCACAATTATTTGTAGCTGTTAATTATATAACGAAATACACATCAAACGGAAAGAAAAGAATGAGAGATTTAAAGTCAACATTGTGGAAATCCTGTGCCAACAAATGCACTAAAATTACTGATCTGTTTCCCCGTCAGTTTGACACAAACGATTCAAAAAAAACCTTTCTTAATCTTATCTTTTGAAATACAGATACAGACATTACTTCCCCCCCAAAAAAATACGTCTTACGCGTGTTCAATGTAGCCATGCAAGTTACTTTTAGAATGATTTCGTTGACGAAGGAACGCTCACGGCTCCGTTTACAGAGCAAGCCACTTTAGATAACGTAGAAACATTAACTCATATCTTCGAAGAAGCAGGCTTAACTGCTCAGATTCTGAAATATACACGCGCATCTTCAACTGCTGATGCCTTTTAACAATGAAGTCGCTCTACATGCGGTCACAAAACAGTGTTGTCTAGCAACAATGATGTTGTTGGACGTTGACTTGCTCGAGTTGGCATTAACAACTTACGTGACGAATTGATGAACAGAGAACTAGGACACTTTGACTATAAGCATGGGTAACAAAGACTATATGGTTATATTAAATCGATAGTTTTGCGAAGACGATCTTATCTTAACGCGCGGGGGGGGGGGGGGGGGGTGTAATCATAAGCTAGGCTTTATAGAGTTTATGCTTATCATACGATGTTTCTAAACTTTTCTGTATAATTATTCAAAAAAAGAAAAAAAAAAGGCTAAAACGCATCATGACAACAGAATACTTGCAGGGTTTCTTCTTTTTGCCTAAATGTTGAAGACTGACGTGATAGCTACGTTTGCAACATTGATTTACAATAAATTATTTTGAACACTTATCTTATATAATACAGACGTTACTTCAAAAAAAAAACAAAGAAGATAATTACGTCCTACGCGTCATGCATTTAGTCATGCATATTAACCAATGACTTAAATTCTGCCAAGTCACTGGTTTTTCTGGCTAGCTCAGGCAACCCATTCCATGCTCTAATAGCACTAGGGAAGAAGGAGTATTTGTACAAATTTGTCCTAGCATATGGGACGAGGAATGTACCTTTATCTTTGTGTCTTTCAGAGTATTTTATTAAATTTTGTTTTTGCATTTGAAGATTATGGTTCAGTGTTTTATGTATAATAGTAGTCCTATATATAGAGTTTTAATTGTCAAAAGCCTTGGAAAAATCTAGCAAGATAGCATCTATTTGCTCACTATCATAGCCTTAAACCCTATTGTCTCTTGAAAGTGGATTAGTTAAAATTACCGGTATTATTAGTTTTATCATAGACTATATATTATATATATATACATAGACTACAGAACATGGGATAGAAATGCTTACACCTATCATAAATGGATATTTTTCAGGACGCATCAGCCAAAGTCATGGGGTATTGCATTGACGGCAATAGAAGATGGTTTGATGAAAGCAATGTAGAAATTCGAGTTATGAAAGCAAGTTAGCATAACTGGGCCACTTTGGCTATATTCTTGCAAACCCTAATATAACACTGCAAACAGGTTCCTCTACTAAGTAAGAAGTGAAAAGAAAGCAGAAGTGAACAACAGCATTAAAAGTACAAAAATAATATTCGTATCTCTTTTTAACGTGATCCAGATGTTTGATTTAATTAAGTAACGCTAGAATTACTTGTTGCCGTTGTGGCCAATCTTCATTATTAAGTCCTTCATTGTTTATAACAAAAAAGATATGCAAATATTTGATTAATTTTTCGTTACTCTTATTTATTTATTTTGGCCTTTCATACTTTCTTAGTTATGTAGTTCCAATAATTAAAGTTTTCATTTGTAGCAGGCTAATTAAAAATTGGATTGCTTGAATTTCAAGCTAATTGACCGAAAAAAAAAAAATTGTTGCTGTTATTGTTTTTCAATACATTTATAGTTCTTGATCTGTCACTAAACAATCTCCTTGTGATTTAAAGAACTATAATATGTGTAACTAGATTTGGTTGCCTTTTTTATTTTTCTTAGGCTACACATCTCAATTGACAAGTAGGCCTTAAATTATAACTTAGGTCTCACGTATATACTTTTAATGTAAATAAATTAAAAACGCGATGAGAATATTAACGGTATGTCACTATCCAGTGAACGATTTGTCGAAGAACAAGTCTGGGAGACAATTGTTAGTGAGCCACTTGTCGTGTGAAACTGGTTGTAAAAAAAAATGTAAAATGTTATATATGTTTCAGATGTTCCTCCAGAGCTGAAGATAACTAATCTAGTATACATTCTAGTGAAACATCCCGCAGGACGATGGGGGGTGGCAGCGGGCAGGGTATGAACCCTGGACCATTAAGTCGACCGAACGACAATCTAGCGTGAATATCGCACGACCTGGCACGACAGGTCGGTGAAGAAAAGTTGACGGTAAATCAGTTGCTTTTGAACCAGTTAAATTGTCCATTGGACCTATTGTCTGGTGAACGAATTGTAGGGGCCTAAACTATTACTAATAAGGTTTCTTGAACAGTTTCAGTGTAGGTTCGAGAGACTGAATATTGTTAGACCGCAAAACCGCACTACGAATAGTGATATCCTTGCGAATGCCGGTATGGGCATTGTAGATTCGAGAGACTGAATATTGTTAGACAGCAAAGCTGGGCAGGGGACATACATGTAGGTCTAAACAGTATGGGTGACGACAATATGGGCTATGAAAGCAATCTATTTTTGTTTTTTGGTGAGTTGAAATGTGGTCGGCATAACACCTCCTCGAAAACGCTTTAAAGTCCAGCTAGCAGGCGGTTTCTGAACGAGACTGATGAAGATTTCTTTCAAAGGCCGTAGGAAACACATTTGAGCCCAAAAGGAAATCTGCCGAGGACAGGCATAGAAGGCGAAAAGAGAACTTAAATCACCCATCGGCCTGTGCAGTCAGCCGGTTATGATTTTACGCTGGAAGTCGCAAAATAGGGCCTACATATATCACAACAGCTATGACTGCATAGCTACAAATCATTTAACAACAAGACTTTTTTTTAGTTTTTAGCAGCAGAATAGTAGCGGATATTTTGTAAAGGAAGATTTACATCTGCACCTTGGATTTATTATTATTACTTTGGGCAATACATCACTTGATCGACTTTAGCGTAATTAAATTTAACCGTCCCATTTTGTTATCACTGGATCGGCTGCAGGCAGCACAGTCCATCAGGGGACAGCACTCTGGTTTTCATTAGCTCAACCAAACTTCCGGCACACTCACTAAGTAACAACTTTCAGCGGCTAAGAGAAACAATGTTGAAATATTTTCCCAGTGTGTAAAATTTCAGCTTAAAGGATTGGATTTAATTTGTGTGTGTGCGTATTCTTTTACTTAAAAAAATGCCACGTATTATGATAAAAGGTGGTGTCTGGAGAAACACTGAGGTGCGTATTTTTTTATATGGAATAATATATATTTTTATAGAATAAGAGTACACCTATTTTCGATAAAATATTATTATTAAATAAAAATACTATTATAATAGACTTAGACTTCATAGTTAATAGGATGATAATACTAATACTCATATACTGTTAATATTCATATTATTTTATAATGTTGATATATCATAATGTCTTGATATCTTTATTCTATATCGATCTAGATCTAGTCTATAGATCATAGATCTAGTAATAGATCTAGAGTTAGAGTTAATCAAATCTAGACTTGTATTGATTGTAATGTTTCAATGAACTGTAAGTGTTCTAATATTCAATTTCGAATGTAGGATGAAATTCTCAAGGCGGCTGTGATGAAATATGGTAAAAACCAATGGGCTAGAATTGCTTCATTGCTTCACAGAAAATCTGCAAAACAGTGTAAAGCAAGATGGTAAATATATATATATTTTTTATCCTATTTCATTTTTTAAAAGTATGTTTTTTTGGCCACAAATCCTCTGTCTGTGAAAATGTAAACTAGCTTTTTTTTAAGTGACTACATTATTGAATATTTACATTTATTTTTCAACCTCATGTCAATAAACAGATATTAGGCAAACCCATCCCTTTTGAATTTATAATTGGCTCAACCAGTGGGCATCAGGAAACACAGTCAGAGCCATGTACAAAGAAATGACTATGCCTCAAACTGGATAGTATTAACTACCTCCCCCGCAAAGAACAATCTACAATTTTCCAACTAAGAACAGGACACACACCTCTATTAAATTACCATCTGAACAAAATAAACTCCACACAACTCCCCCTTTGCAGACACTTCGACCACTGTTGTGAACTCCTAGCCTATGACTTTGACATGGATACATTACGTATGCAATACTTCAAGAAACACCAGGGATGCATTAGAAATAAGAAATATTTAATAAAGCAATAGGTATAGAACTAGGGTCCCTTTTGAAAA